ATAACGTGTTGAAGAAATCATTGCCATTTGAAGATCCTCTTTGGTCCTAGGCCGTGACATTGTAAATAAGATATGAGGTATCTTAAAATCTTAGGTCAGCCAGCCCAAATCACGTCTGTTGCTCGACCATTAAATAAAATAGTCATGTTGTCATTTACTTTTCACCTAAATATCCATTGACAAATATATGTAATCATACATACATGATCATCAGTAACGTAATAATATACTTGTCGATATTTAATGGATGAACATATGCCACGCAACCAAAAATTCTCTCTAGGTAAAGATGTTCCTTGGTTACGTTGTTAATTTGTTATCAACTTTGATCACAAATTCAAGATAGATTCTTTGAGCCTTGACAAGAGCACACTTCCATTTTGAGAAAATGTTAGTTTGTGTTAGATATACTTGAGAAAGAGTGGGCCCCATATCGGGATACGAGAGATCTTTTATTGTGCCGGGAACACGGCCAATGCATCAAATGTAATAATACAATTAGTTGAAAACTTGAAAAACAAATTACAACCAATTGTATTATTACACTTAGTATACCAGTATATGTTCTCGACACACTAAAAAATTTCTCGATAACAAATTCTAATACGCAAACAGCCGCCAACAGAAAATACTTAAAATACTGTAGCAGTTGCCCAACATACCAAGGAAATATATAAGAAAACAAAAATATGGGAGATCCAGAGAATACTTGGGTTCTAAGCCAACTTTTGAATCAGTTAGGTAGGTGAGTTGAAGCCTCCCCATCTCACACACACAGAAATCAGCAAAATACCCGAATTTTCTATATAAAATCGACCAGCAAAATACATTACAGCTTACCAGAACATGACTCGATCCCAAATTCCGAGCACATGCTCTGGAAGCTTTTCTTCGTTGAATAACGCAGGCGTAACCAGGTTTGACCACTCCGTCTGCTTCAGCAGCAACCATCCAGCACCAGGCCAAATAAGCGATTAAGACTATTTGATGATGCATTGCAATCGCCTACACTTTCCTTTGGCCATATTCGTTTCCTCCTACCGAGAAAACAACTAGAAATACGAGAATTTATATCAAACACAGTTACAACATTGTTTGATCAGACGTCCACACAAGATGAGTTGCTTTTGTGGGACTGTTTGGGTCCTGACCAAAATACAATGTTCATCTGTGGACCGGAAATGTTTCTTAATTGACATTAAGAGTACGTTGTAAGAAATTCTGCTAGTTTCTTGATTGATATTAAAATCTAATCTACATGTGTTCTTCTCGTACAATCATATTACACTAGTGCTGTACACAACCTCAGAGATTCCCAACGTAGTTGAAAAAACAAAATGAAAATACAAATGATTTACCTATATATAAAACCTGCGGTTGAAACTTGGAGTCCACTCAGACACCAGCTGATATTTCATTCGCGGCCGGGCTTTCTTTTTTCTTTGGCGGTTCTTGAGGTTTCTGCAGAACAGCCTTGTTGGGAACTAAAACCATAGTCATCATCTTTTCGGTGAAGTGTCTAGATTCTTCTGTTGCAAGCTGCAACCCACATAAACAATCATACAATTGAAGATCAAAAACATGAGCAGCCGAATAACCCTAATGAAAATAACCAGAACTTAAACGGGGTGCAGACTGCAAGCAGTTTATTTTTTAGATCAATCTGACCAATCTGAAGCATTTCAGAAATTTGAAAAACAAGAACTTTGGATTCATTTGTGAATCAAGACATAAAGAAGATAGACTTAAACTCAGGCAACAATTTCAGGTGGTGGATTCGTGTAACTCTGTTTATGATTCTAAGTGCAAATACACATTAGTACCTCCCCGACATCACTCTGGAATTTTTGGATAAGCTCAACAGCAATATTACGGAACCATTTTTCACGGCCTTTCAAGTTGACTATAACCTTGACCTGCAAAAATTGGTAGCAGCTCTCAATACAGAAAAACATAAGAACAATATACGAAGGCAAACTCTGACAGCAATGAGAAATGTAAGCAAACCTTATCACCATCTTTCAAAAACTTCTGGGCAGCTCTCAAACGCACAGCGTAATCATGTTGGTCAATGTTGTAACTGTAAACACAATGACAATGGTAAAAAAAATTATGCATATAAAATTTTTTGGCAGCTATCTATCTGAGTATATCGAACATTTTTTTCATAAGCATCTAATCTATGCAATTCAGGCATTAATTAACTTATATGTCAAACAAACACGTTAATAATAGGGATTTGAAATAAGACTAAATGCAAATAAACAAGGGAAGATTAGTGTTTTACCCCATTTTGAGCTCCTTCAAATCCATGCGGCTCGCTAGCATTCAAGAAAAGACTGATCAGTTCAGTGTCTTTCCTCAAATCAAAGAATTATGCATGAGGGAAAGCCAGCGGAGTCAAGACAGAAAACACTCACCTGCACTTTTCTTCTGCTGGTCTCTTTTCTTCTTTTGCTGTTCGTACCTATATTTACTGACAATGAGAAAAGGTACAGGTAATTAGATCTACTTGTTATAGGATTCAAGAAAAAAAGTACATAATATTTAGGGCGATAGGTTTCTGTACATACATATGTATAAAACAGGATATATAGGTAAAAACACCGACATCCCAATTTTTCATTAAAACTCAACATACTGGTCAATGTGCTACCACAGTTTGTCATTAATGCACAAAGCATTTAACAATGTCATCCTAAGCTACCGAATATGAAATTAAACCTCTTGCTATCTATGATTAATTACTTCAATAAACTAACATAAACTATGAGGGGATGTATTTGTAAAGTTTGAGCATTTATCGCAAATAAGAAACGGGAACCAGAAAAACAAAGAGAATTGTGAACTCTTCTAACATCGTATAAAATACATACTTGTAATCCATTATCCTGAGAACTGGAGGATCGGCCTCTGCAGATAATATTACCTGCAACAATGCAGAAGATATTAGTCTTCAAACCATGTCATAAAAGCATTCTCCTAACATCAGAAACTAAAAAATAATGATTGATTCTCAAAGAAACGAGATTTCATACAGCATGATACACTAAATGCAGGTGCTTCGCTGCCACTAATTCAAAACACATCGTTTCAAAACAATAAACTGAATGGAACCAAGTTCATTGGCACCACCAATGGCAGCCAACATGATCCAATGCATGCACTGTATAGGTGAAGGTTGGATTCACCGTTGGCAGATGAGATTTCTGGAACTGATTTCCTCCTACACTAATCTCCCTACACATGCCGTATAATATTATGTGCGGTATGTATATGCACACAAATTTAAGATAAGTATATATATATATATAGGAGCCCTTTCTTAAGAGAGAGAGTTATGGGATAGTGTCCTCATATAAACTGTTTCTTGACAATGTTTTCAAGTTCAGTGTTTTTGCCCCACAATGTGGCCAAAACATGGTCACGAAGCAGTTAATGCGAGGGCACTAACCTATTCCGCTCCATGAACGGAGGAGCGGAGTCCCCCTTATGAAGTTCTGCTAGTATGTATATACATATACATACACATATACATATAATCTTAAATTGTATGTAAAACAAAACCAAAATTAGTGGCAAAATGCATACCAAATCGAGTTCAGCTTCGTCAGCGAGCCGAATAGCCTCACTTTTACTCACCACTCCAACCTACGCAGAACAACAAACGATCCCACAATTCATCCACAACCGAAAAGAGCACATTTCGACCATAATATTAGCGAAAATTAACAAAACAAAAACACAAACCATGTTCTGCTTGGCGTCGATTAGCCGCACAGTATCCGACCTGTTTCAAAAACATCCAACAAGGAACCACCTCAAAATTCGATTTTGATTAACGTGATCACAAAAACATAAAAACGCACATTAAGCACTTAATAAATTGATTAACTTGACACTGGAGATATCGAGGGCCTCGTCCTCGTCGGAGGAGTCGCCTTTCCGTGAGCGCCGGGAGTCATTGCTGGAGTTGTTGTATCGGGGCCCGGCGCCGAAACGGGCGGTGATTCGGCTGCTGGTGGATGAGAAGGAGCTGAAAGAGCTTGAATTTATGAAACAGGAGCTGTTGAAACGGAGGAGGCCGCCGAAGTGTTTGGAGTCAGCGGAGGAAAGTGAGAGCGGAGACGGCGTCGTTTTGGAAGTGGTGGTTCGGGATGACAGCATGGGCTGCGATGCGAAGCTGGTGGTGATCCCAGCCATGGCTAATCCAATCAGTCAAAAAGCAACTACAGCTCGTGTGCTGCACTGAGATTTTTCTTCTCCTTATCCATAATCCTATGTTTGGTTGAAGACGAGTGAATCAGAGTGGACTCCGTGGGCCTTGGACCTTATTGGGCCACAATTGTTTGGGCCTATTACTCCTACAATAAGACCCAGACCCAGAGTTCGTTCGAGACTTCGAGTTTCTACCATGATGGCGTGTTTGCTACCCATAATCGGAATCAAAATACGAAACCAGACTCCGCTACAGTTGAAAAATCTAAGGTTATAAATAAAAAAGCCACTATTACATAAATCAAATTGCAACATCAATCACAAATGTGATACATCTAACTCAGATTTGTTTTGTTATCTTGAATTTGTGGCACGAAGCTAACAAAAATACTCTTTCGATTCTATCAGTCCTACTCTTTTGTTGCAAAATACCTTACTTTGGAAAAAAATAACTGATAAATCTATCAATTAATCATCAAGTATAGACATGTCACCAGAATTATATAAATCTAAGTGTGCGTTGATAAATGATCACTTAAGCGGATAGAACGTCTTATCTCCCTCTGGAGGTTTGTCTAGAAGCAGTCACCCTTAAAAAAGTGCGTAATAACTCACTGATCGAATGTCCTTGCGCTAAAGATGAATGGAACTAAGCAATCTACCAAAGTTGTGAGAAGTAAAAATGCTACGGTAAGAAAACATTCCGGTTAAAGATAAGCACCCGCTCGAGCAGCGATGGATAAAGCAAAAGCGAGAATGTCGACTTAAATAACGCAAATATTGGTGAGAATCTAACAAAAGTAAATTGCTGACTTCTTATTGAATTCACATAAACATACTATTTAACAGAGGTTTTAGTATAAAAACAACTAAAACCAAAAACATGTCTACAAGCTATGAACTCGAATAACACAACATTAAACACACAAACAAAAACAGAGCACCCCAAACCCCATTCCAACTTCAAATAACTCAATCAACCTCCTCAATCTTGGGGCCGGGTCCACTGGCGGAGCCAGTGGAAGCGCCACCAGGCATGTCATCACCCATCGGCATGCCACCTCCAGCGCCGCCGGCACCCTGGTACATCTTTGCAATAATAGGATTGCACAGCCCTTCCAGCTCCTTCAACTTGTCCTCCAACTCATCAACTTCTGCCAACTGGTTCCCCTCCAGCCAATTAATCGCGTCGTCCACCGCCTTCTCGATCTTCTCCTTGTCCGCCGGGTCCAATTTCCCGGCAAATTTATCATCCCTCACGGTGTTCCTCATGTTGTACGCATAATTCTCCAACGCATTCTTTGCCTCCACCTTCTTCTTCACCTCCTCGTCTTCCGCCCTGTACTTCTCCGCATCCTGTACCATCTTCTCTATCTCCTCCTTGCTCAGCCGGCCCTTGTCATTCGTAATCGTGATTTTATTCTTCACCCCCGCCGTCTTGTCCTCCGCCGACACGTTCAAGATCCCATTCGCATCAATGTCGAAACACACATTGATCTGAGGCACGCCCCTGGGAGCAGGAGGGATTCCGGTGAGCTCGAATTTCCCCAACAGATTATTATCCTTCGTCCTCGCCCGCTCTCCTTCATAAACCTGAATCAAAACTCCCGGCTGATTATCCGAGTAAGTCGAGAAGATCTGCTCTTTCTTCGTCGGAATAGTCGTGTTCCTCGGAATCAGCACCGTCATAACACCGCCGGCAGTCTCCAGCCCGAGACTGAGTGGCGTGACATCGAGCAGCAGCAAGTCCTGCACTTTCTCATCCCCATCGCCGCTCAAAATCGCCGCTTGTACCGCCGCGCCGTAAGCGACAGCCTCATCGGGGTTTATACTCTTACAGAGCTCCTTCCCGTTAAAAAAATCCTGCAAAAGCTGCTGGACTTTCGGGATCCTCGTCGACCCGCCGACGAGAACAACTTCATGAACCAGCGACTTGTCGATCTTCGCGTCCCTCAAACATTTCTCTACCGGCTCCATACACTTCCTGAACAAATCCATGTTCATTTCCTCGAACCTCGCCCGGGTAATCGTCGCGTAGAAGTCGATCCCTTCGTACAGAGAATCAATTTCGATTGTTGTCTGGGAAGTGGAAGACAGAGTCCTCTTCGCCCGCTCGCACGCCGTCCTCAGCCGCCGCAACGCCCTGGCGTTTCCGCTAATATCCTTCTTATGCTTCCGCCGGAACTCCGACACGAAGTGATTCACCATCCTATTGTCGAAGTCCTCTCCACCCAGATGGGTGTCTCCGGCGGTGGCCTTCACCTCGAAAATCCCCTCCTCGATCGTCAGAAGCGAGACATCGAAAGTCCCTCCGCCAAGGTCGAAAATCAGGACGTTCTGCTCCCCCTTTCTGGACGCCTTCTTATCAAGCCCGTAGGCGATGGCGGCGGCAGTCGGCTCGTTGATGATCCGCATGACGTTGAGCCCGGAAATCGCACCAGCGTCCTTGGTGGCCTGCCGCTGAGAGTCGTTGAAGTAGGCAGGGACAGTCACGACAGCGTTCTTCACCGTCTGACCCAGATACGCCTCCGCGATCTCCCTCATCTTCGTCAGCACCATCGACGAAATCTCCTCCGCCGAGAACTTCTTCTCCTCTCCCTTATAGTTCACGACGATCAAGGGCTTGTCTCCGGGGCCCGGAATAACCTTAAAAGGCCAGAGCTTCATGTCGCTCTGCACCGACGCGTCGGAGAACTTCCTCCCGATGAGCCGTTTCGCGTCAAATACTGTGTTATGCGGGTTCATCGCCACTTGGTTCTTCGCAGCGTCACCGATAAGCCGCTCGGTGTCGGTGAACGCCACGTAGGACGGGGTTGTCCGGTTGCCCTGATCATTGGCGATGATCTCGACTCGGTCGTTCTGCCAGACCCCAACGCAGCTGTAAGTTGTGCCGAGGTCGATGCCGATAGCCTTTCCTTCGGTCTTGGCCGCCATTGAAACTGCTTAAACAAACAGACCGCTTATAAAACAGAGCTCGAAATTTACAGACAAAATTTGGACAAACGTAAAAGATTTCTGAGAATTTGAAAGCTTTCTAAGATTTTTTCTGATCAAATCTGAAATTGGATTAGGAAAAGAAGTAGGGGTTCATCAATTTATAGTGAATTGAAAGATTATTCGAGAGAAATGGAGAAGAATGTAAAGGGGAGGCGGTGGAAAGCTTAGGTGGTTCAGGAGGGTTCTGGAATTTTTGGAGGGAAGGTTCGGCTCAGGAAGGTGGGCTTGGATTGTGTATAATCCACGTGGGTGCCATCGCTTTTGTTGGGTTAAATTGGCGGGTGAGTGAGTGGCATTTTGGGAATTTGAGGATGTTTTGGTCGTAACGGTGGGGTAAACTGGTGATGCGGTGGCAGGTTGGCTGCCGTGTCTGTGTACGTAGCGTTGGTGATTTTTGGTGGGTATTGTTTGGGCCAGATATGTGTCGTTGGTGTTTGTTATTTTGTTCTGGTCCCACCCTGTGAGTATGGGCTAATCTTTATCAATAGCCCAACATAAATTTAAAAATAAATTGATGGCTGGTTTCGAAAATGCTTTTAAAGGCAGAAATTGCTTTTAGATAAAATATTTTGAAATTAATTTTTAATACAAATTTAAGTTAATTTTTAAAAAGAATTTAGTTAACTTTTAAAATCCAAAACTATTTTATTTAAAAGTGATTCTAATCATTGAAAAACACTTTCCAAACGACCTGAAAATTAGGAGAAATTGTGGGTGAATTTATTTACTCAATTTCTTGGGTTTTCTAATTTATTTTTGAAAAATTCTCAAACTTCTTAAGCAGAAATATAAAATCAATAGTCCAATTAGAAAGATGCAATTGATGATGAATTAATTTAGAAAATAATAGGTGTTTAATTATATTGTTTGTTCTTAAATTTTGTTTTATAAATCGATAGCAGTAGGGGCATTGAAACATTTTTTATGAAAATGTTTTTAAAATCAATTTATAGTAAAAATACAAGTGACTCCTGAAAAAAAAAACACTTAGTTTTTGAAATTCAAAAACAATTTAACCGAAAACGCTTTCAGTCAAATTGAAAATACTTCCCAACTACCATATGAAATGATGTGTAATTTGGTGGAAAAAAAAAAGCTAAAGAAAAATGCTTGAAAACTTTGAGTTTCAACGATAACGGCAAAATAAAGGGTAAACTGAATAGTATCATGATTGACTTTTTAATGTAAAAATATGATTTTTTTTGTTAAAGTAAACATTACTAGAAACTTTTCGTTAAAGTTTCAAAAAAAAAATTCAGTTGGTTAACTTTTACACAAAATGAGAATCACTTGCGATTCACGAATGATCTAGTCGGACATCCTCTAGTTTTAGGTATGTTAAGTAAATTTGATCTGACCTTTATATGGATCATGATGAGTAATTTTGCGGTTATACAAAAAGAAGCAAAGCCCCCAAAAGCCGAAAGTACACGAGAAAGTATTCGACACAAGTAGTTGGGCAAAAGGACACGTTCGTCATTTCAAGAAAAGTGCACGCAACTCTGCATCCTACCGACGGCACGACAAGCGGACAACAACGTAATCACACTCGCCCGACATTACCCAAACCAAAAAAAAAAAAAAAAAATAATGAAAAAGACTTGAAAATTTTGAATTTTAATGATAAGGACAAAATAAAGGATAAAGTGAATAGTACCATGATTGACTTTTTAGTATAAAAATGTGATTTTTCGTTAAAGTGAACAGTACCGGATACTTTTCGTTAAAGTTCAAAAATAAAACTCGAACCAAAAATCTGAGGTCGCAAAAACAAAAGAAAAAAAAAAGGCAAATCCAACTCTGACGCGCACACTCTCTCACTTCACCAACGAAAGGAAGGGTTCTTAGGGCTGGTTTGGTATTGCTGTGCTTTGAAAAAAAACTGCTGTGAGAATAAGCGGCTGTGCTGTGAGAATAAGCGGCTGTGAAATAAAGCCAGTAGAGTGTTTGATAAACTTTTTTGTGAAAGTACTTTTGGAAAAAAAATCAGGATGATAGTGTGTCTTTTCATTAAAGGAGCACTGTAGCTCCGTGTGCTTTGAAAAAACTGGTTTTTTTTCAAAGCAGCAAATAGCAGCTTCAACTTTTCCTTTGATTTTCAGCTTATTCTCACAGCAGCTTCCAAAATAAGCTATTTTTTTTCAGTTTATCAAACACAAAAATTACCCTCAACTTTTTTTCTGACTTTTTTTAAAATCACCTCAATGCCAAACGGGCAAAGCCTGTCCACCGCCCCACTTGACCCTTCTCTCTCTCTCTCTCTCTTTTCTGAGTTTCTCTCTCTTACCCCCCGAAGAGAGAAAACCAAACCAGACCAAGAAATCCGAATCAGCGTCTGTTTTCGCTGTTGTTGTTGTTGTTCTTTGATCGGACGGCTGAGATTCTTCAGGAGATTAAGATCAAGGTATGCAGCAGGGTGATCAACCGGTGTTGAACTTGAGGCCTGGTGGCGGTCGCTGTAGACTCCGGCTCAGGTCTGCTGTCCCGTATTTCATGTCTCATTTGTGTCTCCTGTTTAATTCACGCCTAACACTGTTAAGTTAACTTAACAAAAATACTGTTACCTTTTTATAAAAAAAATTAAAAAAAAAAATTAAAGAAAGCAACTTTGGAGACCCACCCCAAGACTTTTCATCTCTTTTTCTCTCTCACCTGGGAATTCTAATTCTTGTGTTGGACTGTGATTATTCAAACGACGGTTCCGATGAGGGGTGTCGTCAAGCACAAATTCTCCAAAAAAATCAAACAACTGCATACCATTGCTATCATGATTGATCAGATCTGGAAAAAAATCGCAGCGTATGGGCTCCGGCCCTCTTGGCCGACCGATCTCGCCGGTCTCTTTATTCAGCAACCCATCGTCGTCATCTTCTTCTTCTTCTTTAGCTTGATTTTCTAGTTTTTCTGCGATGAGTTCAGTTTGCTCCTTGCTGGGTTTGCTATTGCGAGGCGGACGAGCACAGAAGCCGAATGCTCTCTCTTTCTGCTGGATTTGCCATTATTCGAAGAGAATAGAATAGACGCTCCAGATTAACCCGTTTGGTTTAACTTTGGTTTTTATTTATTTTTTAATTAGTTTTATTAAAACTTTAACAATGTTAGATATGGATGTAAAATATGAGACAAGAGACACAATCGGGGCATGAAATCCGGGACAGCAGACCTCAAGCCGTAGACTCCTTGGTCCTCGTTGTATAAACCAATAAACACTTGTCAGTTGTCTATTGGTAATTACTATCACTCAATCAGTTGAGACTGTTAGAAAGTTCGTTATAAAGGGTATTACTGTAAAAATCCATGTATTTGGATACCATATAACATGTAAAGGTTTGTAATAAATCATTGAGAAGTACAAAGAGACTCCTTCGTTTCTAAGTTTTCATTTGGATACTATATAACACAAAGTACAGGTTTGTGATAAATCATTGAGAAATACAAAAGTCTTCTGAGATTCCTTCGTTTCTAAGTTTACATTCTTCTCTCTTCTTTTCTTCAAAGCTCAATTCCTCAGTGTTGTGAGCTTCGACTCCTCATCCGCCGCTTCCAGCCCGTCGTCTTCATCGTCTTTGGCTTTCGGTTCCTTTCTTCTGATCTCCCTCTCCTCCGTCCCCATGGCGGCGCTCCCCCACAATTTCTCTATCAAGGTATACTCATCAAGCCTGTAAAGTTTGCGTCTTTGGATTCAATTGTGTCCAAACAAAGATGGGTTCCCAGGGATAATTAGTGTTTTAATGCGTTGTTTAGACTATTTTGTATCGATTTTGAATGTAATTTGAGCAACCCTTTAATGATTTTAACTCCCCCTACCGACCCCCTTGAGACTCGTTTGAGTAGATGAAAATTTTTGTTTATATCATAGGAGGTTTTGTTGCAAGTAATTTTAAGGAGCCAATGTCCTAATTCTTGGTGGGAGTTTGTGTGCCTGCTTTAAATATGGATGAACATCTATATGTAGGCTTTAGGTGGGCAAGCATTGAGTTGTAGGCTGCCCATAAGGGACCTACAAACATCTGATTCATCCAATGCTGCATAATTGGGAGTTGGTTACTTTGCAATTTGAAGCTTCTGTTTGCACTGTAATGTGGCCAGACTTTCTGAATTCTTTTTTCTTGACAGGCTGGAGACGCACGGTTTGAGGATTGTGACACCAGAGACCAGATCTTACAGCTTAGAGAGGTATTCAATCTTGGAATGCACTTCATGTTGAACAGAACAGTATTATTTGTGAACAAAAATGATAAGACATTCTCATAAAAACTTCACCAATCTGCGTAATATTATACCGCTTCTTTGTAGGCTGTTGAGGTCCCTGATGGAATTCTAAAGGTGAAACAAGAAGTTGACGCTGAAATTTTCGGCAGTGAAGATCAGAGCTGGGGTCGTGCAGACACCAATGTGAGTTTTCGTCCGTCTAATATTACTTGTATTTTCAATGTTTAAGTGTTGAAGTTGATGGAACTGTATATTCGATATCATCATTTTCAAATATCTTTTGGTTGCATTCGATTTTATAATGCTCATATTCTTTTTATTGGTGTGATTTGTTATGCAACCTTGAAGTTATTGATCTCCATATTTATGATATTAAGTGTGTACTTTATAAAAGACTTATAATTTTTTTATTTACCTCTTCAGCTTCCAGCTCAAACTCCAACTCCAGCACCAGCTCAAAATCGTTATTCTGAGCCAGACAGCCAGGATTGGCGTGGCCGTTCTGCACCAGTTCCTACCACTGGAGAGGAACGGTCTTGGGATACTCTTCGGGAGAATAAAGAGTCTGGTAATCGGTTTGATTACAGACAGCAAGAAGCAAATCAGTCTCAATTTTCAAGGACACAGAGCCAAGGGGTAATATATTTTAAGAACTGTGTAATTTGATCCATATAGTTTTTCCTCTCTGTAGTTTTGGTTTGTATTTGTCTCCCGATTATCTTTTGTATTGAGTTTTGCCAGAGGGAATAGGTTAGAGTTTATTCTCATGCAGTTATATCCAGTGGGAGTAGGTTGAATGTGCACCTTTGTTTGGTTCTGGTGTATTCTACTGTTCTTTTTAACTTCTGTACTTGTACATGAGGACAATATCGACTCAGATTCTTTTCTGATATCATTGGTTTCTCGTCATTTCAGGGAGGGCCTGCTCCCACTTTAATCAAAGCTGAGGTGCCATGGTCAGCTAGAAGGGGTACTCTATCTGATAAGGATCGCGTGTTGAAGACTGTGAAGGGGTAATATATCATGAAACATCAGCATATTCTCTTACATCTTGATTATTTGCTCACTATATCCCAACACGAATAATCATGGGATTACCCTTCTGTCCCAAGTTGTCATTGTTTGGTGATCTTTTGGTCTACCATATAGTTTTATGTGAGAACATTATGCTTAATGGCTTTCGCTTTATGTTTTCTATGCAGGATTCTAAACAAGTTGACTCCGGAGAAGTTCGATCTCCTGAAAGGACAAACTTATAGACTCTGGCATTACGTCAGCTGATATCTTAAAGGTTTGTATTGATATACCCTTAATCCTTAATTATAATGTTCTCTTCGGTTTTGTTTTATTACTTCTGGCAACTCTACTCACATTTTTCCTTGCATTCCAGGGTGTTATTTCACTGATATTTGCTAAGGCCGTGCTAGAACCTACATATTTCCCCGTGTATGCTCGTCTCTGTTTTGATCTTAGTGAAAAGATTCCCCGGTTCCCCTCAAACGAACCAGATGGTAAAGAAATCACTTTCAAGCGGATCCTCTTGAATAACTGCCAGGAGGCTTTTGAAGGCGCTGACAAATTGTGGGAAGAAGTGAGACAGTTGACTGCCCCTGAACAAGAGATGGAGCGTAGGGATAAAGAAAGATTGGCCAAGATTCGTACACTGGGAAACATCCGTTTAATTGGAGAGCTTCTGAAGCAGAAGATGGTACCTGAAAAGATTGTACATCACATTGTTAAGGTACGTCGTGGGTTTCCTCCTTCACCCCTTTACTTGCTCAGCAATTACCCTTCAATATGTTGTTCATGGTTGTTTTTTATGTGAAACAGGAGCTCTTAGGATCTGCTAACAAAGTTTGTCCTGCTGAGGAAAACGTGGAAGCAATATGTCATTTTTTTAGCACTGTTGGAAAGCAGCTTGATGAGAAGCCAAAATCACGCCTTATAAACGACATGTACTTCAGCCGAATGAAGGAACTGACAACAAACCCTCAATTGGCTCCAAGGTTGAGGTTCATGGTTCGTGATGTAATTGACTTGCGTTCCAACAACTGGGTTCCCAGACGTGAAGATGTAGGCTATTGTAATATGTGCTCGACTTGTATATTAAATTGCTAATATTATTTTTAAAACTAATTGTCATCTTATTTTGAAATTGGATTGCAGATAACAAGCCAAAACCATCACTGAAAATACGTACGGAGGCCGAAAAAATTCTTGGATTGCGTCCGGGTGCTACTGCAAGCATCCGAAGTGGTCGTAACAATGTTTCTGGTGCTCAAGGGAGTACCAGCCCTGGAGGATATCCCAACAACCGACCTGGTTCAGGGGGCATGATGCCTGTAATGCCAGGAACAAGGAATGTGAAACCCCGTCTTTATTTTTACGTATTTTTGTAATATTATCGAACGTGTGAATTACCAAATTACCCTTGAAGCGTGAACATTGACTTTGTGTTTTCGAAACGTCGAACGTTTTCTTGGATATTTTCATGTTTCGTCTTAAGTAGCCTTAATTTATGAGCCAATGAGAACCACTTTGGATCCTCATCCCCTTGTTCTTCCCCCTTACCCGTGAGTCCTTCCCCCTTTTTTCTTTTACTTTCTGTCAACTTTTTCCCTTGCTAACTCTCACTTCTTTCTACACTCTCCCTCTCTTCCTCTCGGCTTGCTTTAGAACCACCATCTCCGAGGGTTTTACACACACAAACAACAACACACAGCAACGCACAACAATCTTGGCACCACCACCATCACCCCTGTGAACTCAGAAACGAAGAAAAACCCTCTAAACCCTTCCAAACTCGCTGCACAATGCACTCACTATTCACTGAGCTTTTCTGATGAATTTTCATGTTCTCCGGCGATGGTAAGCCTCGAACCTCGTCCAAAAGTTGTAGATCGTGTCTTGGTGTATGTTTAGAAGAAGTTTTGAGAAGTTTTGGTGATGTCTGGACGTAGGAAACTCACGGGGAAAACTTTCTCAGTTTTCAGGAGAGGACCACCACTTTCGAGGCATTTTCAGCCAAACCACGACGAGTTAGCCATCGAGAAATGTGCCATTCTCTTCATCTCGTTGAGAAGTATGATTTTTTTTTTGAATCACTTGATTTCGTTGAGTATTGATGAAGTTATAAACGTTTAAAATTTACCCATAATCCGACGAGTTTCGCAGATTCTCAATAACCAACCAACTTTCAAGCCATTTTCCAATCAACTTTGGCCACTACTTGGTCCCCACTTGGTATGAATTTCTTCTCCACATTCCTAACAATATTTTGGCTTTGATCACTCGATTTGGACATGTATTGAGCTTGGACTGGGCTCTTGAAGTTGGGGGAAATATCTGGGATTTTTCCACTTTTGAAGGGTCGCGCATAGGTGCCTGCCATGGCCAGCGTGTGGAGCACACGCGCCTCCGTCGAAGCTATTGTGCTCCGCCGTTGTCCACGACAGCGTCGACAACTTTTCCGGTTGCCTTTCCGACAACCAATCCCAGCGTGTGGGGGAACCCGAGGTCACTCCTTAGGTTTTTCGACGTCTTGAATCCATTTACGACGTCTATTTTCAAAAATTCAATCATTTTGGTAGAGTTTTATTAATTTGTCCCCTTATGTGCTTAGGTGCATTTGATAATGACGTTTCCGTCCTCCCTAATTCGAAGGGCTCTTTGACAACAGAGTATCTGTGAGTGAACCTCTTCTAAAATGTATGATTTTATTATTAGAAATGCATGATTTTATGACTACGTTTTATGAAACGTTTATGAGTAAATCGGATTTACGCTTTAATAATTATCATGCTTTATTGAATTTATGTTTACTGAGATATTTATGTATATGAATTATGATATGATTTTGAGTTATTGAGCTTCGATAAGACATATTTTGGAAAAATTATGTTTATAGTTTTCTATGCTTACATATGGATAATGATATTTATATATGTCTTCGGGCGGGTAATGAAGGGCCTACGAATGAATCATAATTATATATGGCTTCGACTGAGCGATGTAGTGGCTTAAGTCGGAAGATATTTATATATGGCTTCGATCGGGAGATATAGGGCCTTTGAGCGATTATGATACCACTACTAAACACACTATATACGATATATGTTTTAAAAAGGTTTTATGACATGCTAAGTTTTCGAAAAACCTATTCCTTATTGGTATGTTGAAAAATAACTATTTTAGTATTATACATATATCACCACTCATGTTTTATTTTATGCCCCTTCATGACCTAAGAACGAGGCATTCGACCTGAGATACGAGGCATTCCCATATCAGTTTCTCTTGTAATAACACTTTCTAATATTCTTTATGCTTGTACTTTGAATTAGTAGTATGCTCTGAATATATTATGCATTATCACTTCTAAATTATTGGCAGTTAAATATTATATTTTATTAAGACTTGTACTTGATTGTTATATTACATTGTTACGCGCAAAATTTATATGCATGTTTTACATGTACTTAATATATGTATTTATGAAATAGCTTGCATCATCTTCGGATGTCGGCCAACATATCATGTTGTCCTTAAGACACGGGGATCGGGGTGTGTCAAGGAAGATGCCTGGGATGCCTGGAATGGATAATGACAATTGGGAGGTTCAAAGGACACGGTCAATGCCAAAGGGTGATGCCAGACCCCAACGCAGCTGTAAGTTGTGCCGAGGTCGATGTCGACGGCCTTTCCTTCCGTCTTGGCCGCCATTGAAACTGCTTAAACAAAGAGACTGCTTATAAAACAGAGCTCGAAACTTACAAACAAAATTTGGACAAAAATAAAAGATTTCTGAGAATTTGAACGCTTTCTAAGATTTTTTCTGATCAAATCTGAGATTGGATTAGGAAAAGAGGTAGGGGTTCGTCAATTTTTAGTGTTTTGAAAGATTATTCGAGAGAAATGGACAAGAATGTAAAGGAGAGGCGGTGGAAAGCTTACAGGTGGTTCGGGAGTGTTCTGGAATTTTTTGAGGGAAGGTTTGGCTCGGGAAGGTGGGCTTGACTTGTGTGGAATATACGTGGGTGCCATCGTTTTCGGTAAATTGGCGGGTGAGTGGGTGCTATTTTGGGAATTGGATCATCTTCGAGACAAACCGTTGGAATTCTTAGAATCATTTTACACAGATTGTTGATTCAACTGCTACAATTATTATAATTTTGAAAAAAAAATCTTTGTTCGTTGAGTTGAATTTCGATACAACGATCATGTTAATGAATTCCGAGGGTATGCCTCGAAGAGGATCCAATTCCGTAACGGTGGGGCAAACTAGTGATGCGGTGGCAGGTTGGCTGCCGTGTCTGTGTGCACGTAGCGTGGGTGATTTTTTAGTGGGTATTGTTTGGGCCAGCTATGTGTCGTTTGTGTTTGTTATTTTGTTCTGGTCCCACCTTGTGAGTATGGGCTAATCTTTATCAATAGCCCAACATAAATTTAAAATAAATTGATGGCTTGTTTAGAAAATACTTTAAAAGACTGAAATTATTTTTAGAGAAAATATTTTAAATTTAATTGTTGGTAAAAATATAATTTTATTCTTTAAAAGTACTTGAAGTGTTTCTTGTAAGAATTACCAATTATGTGTTTATTACATAAAGTACTTTAAATATTTTTGAAACCCAAAACCAATTTATTTAAAAGCGATTCTAATCATTTAAAACACTTTCCAAACGACCTGAAAATCAGAGAAAACCTATTGTTATATAGAAGGTGTATTGGGGGTGAATTTATTTACTCAATTTCTTGGATTTTCTGATTTATTTTTTAAAAATTCTCAAACTTCTATGCTTAAGCAGAAATATAAAATCAATACTCCAATTAGAAAGATGCAATTGATGATGAATTAGGTTAGAAAAGAATAAGAGTTTAATTATATTGTTTATTCTTAAATTTTGTTTTTTAAATCGATCACAGTAGACGTTATAGGGCTCGTTTGGTAGTGCTTTTAAAATTATTGAAACATTTTTTAAAAATCAATCAATAGTAAAAATGCAAGTGACTCCTGAAAACACTTCAGGTGTTATTGAAATCCAAAAACAAATTAGCCGAAAATGCTTTCAATTAAATTCAATGCACTTCCAAACTACCATATGAAATGATGTGTAATTTTGGCAAAAAAATTTCAATTGGGCAGTTCTTCTAGCTTAATTTTTTACACAAAATGAGAATCACTCGCGATTCACGAATGATCTGGTCGGACATCCTCCACTTTTAGGTATGTTAAGTAAATTTGATCCGACCTTTATATGAATCATGATGAGTAATTTTGTGGTTATACAAAAAGAAGCAAAGCACCCAAAAAGCCGAAAGTACACGAGAGAGAGAGTATTCGACGCAAGTAATTAGGCGAAAGGACACATCCGTCATTTCACGAAAAGTGCACGCCACTCTACATCCTAGCGACGACACGACAAGTGAACAACAACGTAATCACAGTCGCCCGACATTACCAAACCAAAAAAAAAACTCGAACCAAAAATCTGCGGCTGCAAAAATAAAAAATAAAAATGGCAAATGCAACTGCGACGCGCACACTCTCTCACTTCACCAACGAAAGGAAGGGTTTTTAGCCTGTCCACCGCCCCCACGGACCCTTTTCTCTCTCTCTCTTTTCTGAGTTTCTCTCTCTTAGCCTCCGAAGAGAGAAAACCAAACCCGACCAGGAAATCCGAATCCGAATATTTGGATCCGTTTTTTCGTTCAGGGATTTAAATCCAATTCAACAGGATTCAGCGTCTGTTTTCGCTGAGTCTTTCGTTGTTGTTGTTGTTGTTCTTTGATCGGACGGCTGAGATTCTTCAGGAGATTAAGATCGAGGTATGCAGCAGGGTGATCAACCGGTGTTGAACTTGAGACCTGGTGGCGGTCGCGGTAGACTCCTTGGTCCTCGCTTCGACTCCTCATCCGCCGCTTCCGGCTCGTCGTCTTCATCGTCGTCTTCTTTGGCTTTCGGTTCCTTTTCTTCTGATCTCCCTCTCCTCCGTCCCCATGGCGGCGCTCCCCCTAATTTCTCTATCAAGGTATACTTATCAAATCTCTCCACTTTGTCTGGATCTGGGTTTGCATCTGGATGTATGATTTGATTTGAATTTGTTGATTTAGCAATAACAAGCCTGTAAAGTTTGCGTCTTTGGATTGAATTGTGTCCAAACAAAGATGGGTTCTCTGAGATAATTGGTGTTTTAATGCGTTAATGCGTTGTTCAGACTATTTTGTATCGATTTTGAATGTAATTTGAGCAACCCTTTAATGATTTTAACTCCCCCTACCGACCCTTGAAACTCGTTTGAGTAGATGAAAATCTTTGTTTATATCATAAGGAGGTTTTGTTGCAAGTAATTTTAAGAAGCCAATGTCCTAATTCTTGGCGGGGCGCTTAGTTTGTGTGCCTGCTGTAAATATGGACGAACAGCAATATGTAGGCTTTAGGTGAGCAAGCATTGAGTTGTAGGCTGCCCATAAAGGACCTACAAACATCTGATTCATCCAATGCTGCATAATTGG